TTTCACCCCATTTCCAAAATATCCCTAAGCAACGGAAAAGTGGACATGTCACCATTGGCATGTGCCATTGTCCCCAAATGCACAAATGAACCTCTTTGTCTTTTTTCCAGTACCATTTTCTTACCCACTCCGTTGAGACTGGTGACAGAGACGGCTGGCAGGGAGTTGGGCACAGAGATCAGTTAACTGAAGCGAACAGAGACTTTCAACTCAACCTTCCGAAGCTTTATCGCCTCGTCATCACACAGGTTCTTTGCTTTGCCTGTATATTGATTTCTATTTTTTTTTTTTTGTTTTTATTTTTGGACTATGAAAAAGTGTCTCATTTCTTCTAAGATAATCACAGCCAAAAGGCAGCTTCTTTTCCAACGTGCATTATTTGTCTATTACAGAATTACTCCATGCTCCCCCCTGAGACAGGACCTGGTGTGGTGTTTGTCTTTTCCCCCTAATACTATAGCCCCTGTCATCTCCCAGCATGCAACTGTGGGATCGTATTCCTATTTGCCTTTGCACCCCACCCCAAACATACTTTCTCAGTTCCCCATCAATTGTTCTCATTTCTCTACCACTTGTCAAAAATATCCCTCCTGAAATGGTCTGTTTCTATAGGATAGAAAAAGAAACTCAGTAAAAGCAAGCTTGAGCCTGGTGGTGGTGGTGGCACACACCTTTAATCTCAGCACTGGGGAGGCAAAGGCAGGCAGATCTCCTAGTTTGAGGCCAGCCTGGTCCACAGAGGAGTTCCAGGATGGCCAGTGCAACATAGAGAAACCCTGCCTTGAACCACCACCAAGGAAAGAAAAGAAGGAAGAAAGAAGGAAGGGAGGGAGGGAGGGAGGGAGGGAGGGAGGGAGGAAGGAAGAAGTTCAAGAATCAATAACCAGGTGTTTCAAAATGAGGAGCACTTGGGGTTTTTATTTCCCCTAAGTATTATGTCTTTTCTTACACAGCGAGTGAGCCTATGGAACCCATTTTTGTCTTATCCCCGCCCCCCCCCCCCAGTGATAGCCACTAAGCTTGTACCATATGATGCAAGTCCAGCCTCCTCTTTCATTCAGTGTTCATCTCATAGGAAGGAGGGGTTCACATCACCTGTGGAAGGGGTACTGGACCCTGCCAGGAACCCAAGCCCAGCGTCACGCCTGCTGCATTTGGGCTAGTATGTGTTGGGCCTAAAAAGGCCAGGACTCGAGGCCTAGTGGAACTTCCTGAGCCTGGCTGAAGTTTGGCGACCTGTCTTTGGCCTGTAACCTCCACGTGGGAGTGAATTTTTAGGCCTGATGTAAGACTGGCCCCTGCCTAGCTAACCACTAGCTTGGTGGAATATTATTGGCCCTTTCCCTTCACATCACCTTACCCCATCCTAAGATTCCTACCCCCACCTCAACCCACGTAAGTCCCTGTCACGTCCCATTGTCCCTGTGGTGGATAGCACCCTCACCCTTCCTCGGTCCTCTCCTCTGAGGAAGGAATTGTGGAGCGGCTAACCCCCACCCCCACACCGGCAAGTATGGAAGCAGGCACGCCTTGGCTTTCCCTTGCTTGTCTGGTCATTTTTCACCTCCCACTGCTCTAAGTTGTCTCAGGTTCATTCACAACCACACTTTGGTTTCTGTCCATTTGTAGCAGTCTCTGCTCCTGATGTGGCTCCACTGGTGACAGCAGAAGTGACTCCTCAGACATCAGATGTGTCCTGATGTTCAGCTCCAGGGATCTGTCCAAAACTCTCTTTCATGGCTTCACAGCTGGCAGTAGCTTCCCTGGCACTGTGTCCCCTCCAGGGTAGCCCTGCAAGCTACCGCTGAAAACACATGAAACAGTCCACACTCTTTTAGTCCGGATTACTTTGCCTTTTTCTGATCTCGTCTCTTGTTTTCATAGCACAATCATGTACCTCTATCGCCTACCTCTCCACCACCCTTTCTGTGTTGAGACAGTCTGCTACACAGCCCAGGTTGGCCTCAAACTGTCCCCAGGAGTGTTGGACCTCAGGTCCAGTCAGTTTTCAGACTCCAGTCTCCTGGGGATGATTTCACGGCGCTTTTTGCTGTGTATGCTATGTTAGACACATCATCTTTTTCTAGTATGATATCCATCTTTATTTTACTGACACCCAATATATTAAATGCTGACCTTAGAGTCACAGTGGTAGTGTGTTACAGTTCATTGCTTTAGTTGTCTCCTTTATATCATCTAATAAAGGGGAAATGTGAGTGAATGCAATGTTAGCTCTCACACACTAGAAACAGAAACCTGAATGATGGTGCTTTTATCCCTCAAATTCAGCCTCCTCACTTTAGAAAGATGCCACCAGGTGGCAGCATTTTGCCATGATCTCAGTCTGGTGTTCAGAAAAGCTGGGACCTCACTCAGATGTGAGACATACTCTTTATGATTAAAACACCCTGAGAGCTGGAAGTTTATTGGATCATTTTAGCAAGAGCCCTACTTAACTTTGGCTGTAAGCTTCCCCAACTCGGCTTTCTATTTCTATGTTTTTCTTCAAAGCTTACATACATTTTCCGTATTAAAAATATTCATAGGAACCGGCTCAGCATGGCCCACTGATTTCATCTTGAATGGTTGGTTCCTAAGACTCCTGAGCTAACACAAGCCACAGTCCACAACTGCAGCTGGACTAAAGACACAGACAGGGCCTTAGGTAGCAGCTTGGGCCCTGACGTCACCGACTCTGGGTGGAAGACTCATTACTGAGGTTGGGGTGCTTCTGGCAGCTTAATGGCCACCAGACACCTCAAAGGTTTCGTGTTGCAGCCCCAACCATGCATGGGCTTCTGTGTGACCTTTGGTGGCAATATGGTACTCAGATTTCAGCATAGACCCCAGCCATAACAGAACCACAGACCTAGACATGGTCCTTGATAGCAGCTGAGTCTGGATATCACCATTGTTGGCTTTGCCTCTCACTAGACACCACAGCAAGAAAGCTGGTCCCTTCCCTCACTACAGGTGAAACCAACCCTTAGAGCACGGGCCTAGGTGAGCTGACTCCACCTTGCCAGAGGTGTGTGGCCCCAATGGTTAGGACTGACCAGCTCAGCTACCACCCAGGTCCACAACAGGACCTTGAGTTGGCCCAGCCTAACATCTACCCATCTAGGACCTGCTACAATACCCACAGGGTCTTCATGACTGGGGGAGCCTCAGAGTATCCAAGAGTTCAGAACCAGTGATGGTGGTGTACCAGAAACCAGACCAGCCACCCATTGCAATGAACATTTGCTAGTAAAGCCGATAGGACATGAGTGCTATGTGACATACGGAGACCCCCCAGTGCCACCAGGTGGAATGGAGGTGTTGGAGAGGCAGGAAAAGAGAAGCAGAAAGTCTTGTTTTGCTTTTGTTCGTTGGGCTGCTTGTTTACTTTGTTTTCTTTGGGGGCAGGGAGCACTGCAGGGGTGAGGGGAGGATATGGGGGGACCAGGAGGTTAAGCAGAATTGGGATACATGTGCAACTCTCAAAGGAACAATAAAGTTAAAAAATAATCAAAAAATTAATAGGTAATAAAGTTTAAAAGGTACACATAAAAAAACTTAATCTTTTTTCCTTAGCCATTTCTTTAAAGTTTATAGACAATACAAAAAGAAAAAAGGGGGATTGGAGAGATGGCACAGTGGTTAAGAGCACTGGCTGCTCTTCTAGAGGACCCAGGTTCAATTCCCAGCACCCACGTGGCAGCTCACAACTGTCTCTAATTCCAGTTCCAGGATACCCAATGTGCTTCAACAGGCAAAAATGAGCAGTATTTTGGAATGCGTTTTCCAAAACACATTTTTGTGTATGTGTGTGTGCATTTGCATGTGTCCACTGCCCAAGGTGTTGGGTGCCTCAGCAGGAATTAGATCGTGACCAGTAATTACTAAGGCATTTGTCCCACCCCCATGAACTGTAGCAGCATTTCTTGCTTGGCCATTACATCCTAGGGGCGTGGCTTCAGGTGTGCAGACATGACCCTTTATAAGGCAGAGGTGGGGCCGGCTCACTCTTGGGTTGTGGTGAGAGCATCACAGTGGTAAATATTCTTTGTGTAAATAAATGCCTGCTTATCATTTACCTTGGGTCCTGTGGACTCATTTAAACTCCGCCTTCAATTGGCACCAGCGTGTCAAGTTGCTGCCCCATCCCCCAATTTCCCCTGGAGCTACTGCTGCCTCCCAGTGGGGAAGTCCTGAGCACACAAGTATTTTACTTTTGTTTGGGGGAGATACCTGCCCCCCCACCTCTTCTCAGGGTGATGAAAAAAGAGGGCTTTTCTCATCTAAAATCATCAGGTTGGTTACTGAGTAGGGATGGGGAGCATAATTTACCCTAACAGAAAATGACTAACTGTCCAACCACAGATTACAGAGTTATCATTACTAATACTAAAATTGGCTTGATCTTTAGGATTTCTACTCTATCACAACCTTAAGGTTACGGCAGAGACAGACAGTAGGACTGTGAGGGAAAGTAATCAGTGGCAGATAATGCAAAGCAAACACTGGTCCTAGTGATGTGGGAACAGTGGGGTATGGCACGGCAGGGAAGAACCCCTCCCCCATCACATCCCAGTGAGGCACTTAAGACCAGGCTGTGAAGTGTGCTCTAGGTTTATGGCTATAGCCAGTCACCATGCTGGGTGAGCCTTCAGTGAGGCAGGTACCTCTGAGTCACTTCCAGGACTGTGTGCAGCCCCTCCCCCATAATTCCTGGTTCACCAAGTTATACTTTGGTGCTGTCCTTTATAGTCTGTTGTGGGTTCCCAATCCTGAGAGAATAGACCTTTACAGAATTCCAGTCACATAGCAACAATGTATTAAAGAACAAGGAGTAATGTTAACACCGCCTCCCTTCCTCAGGCAGCATCTGACAGTAGCCCCCCCCCCCCTCTAACTCACAGGGATCCTCCTAACTCAACCTCCAAGTACTATTACAGCCCTGAGCCAAAAGCTTGACCTCTTTTTAGTTCTTTAGTCGGCTTATGTAAAAATGTTACCTGCTAAAGACTTCAACTTTATTGAATAATAAAAAAAAAACCTTACAATTGATGAAGCAATTACAACAAAACAGTAGCTAGAGAACTTAAATAACTTAAATAAGACAACAAAAAACCCAATTGTACTCTTCTTTTGACCAAATCTGCATGCATGTCCTTTCCATCCTCACAATGCAGTCTTACAGGTATCCATCAACTGCAGTAGAGATAGTCCAGGTTCCCTTTCTGCATCCTAGAACACAAAGCACTACCAGAACTAAAGCTTCTCTTTACAGTGTTGAAAAAACAGCAAAATACTTCAAGCGCTTTTAATTCTTTCCAGTGGAGCCGAAGCCTCCTGAGCCCCGTTCAGTGTCATCCAGTGTCTGAAAAAACATGACAGGAGGCAGGCAAGACAGTCAGTGTCACAGCCTCTCCGGACAACTCACAAATTCCATCTTCACAGTATCAACACTTACCATCCAAAACACCACATTCACCCAGAGGAAAAACATTTAAGTCTCACACTAAAAAAATCAATTTTGCTTACATAGCACCAGTGATGCACATTCTCAAACATTCCATATACCGGCCATTCTCCACTCAGCCATTACAACACTTACTTTAACTTCTTCCAACTCTGGATAAAAAATCTGTTCACAAATGAGCTGTGCAATTCGATCACCTTTTTTTACTTCAAAGAAAAAAACAAAACACAGATTACTATTGATAATTACTGATGTATTTTTTCTCCCGTCTATTATTTAATGAGAGCTTGGGTGAGTTTGACTAACACAGATAACTCAAAATTTACTATACATGTAAATGTACACACTTAACTCACCTTCAAACTTCTCTTTTCCAAAGTTAAACAGCACAACACCAACATTTCCTCTATAATCTTCGTCTATGACACCAGCTGGAGGAAGGAATAATGTTATTTTGATTTATGACATCAGAACACCAGGTGTCTAAGATTATCTCAAACCCTCTTTTCCAAAGTCTTTCTCAGACTTATTCTTACACCTGACAAAGTGAATCTCACTTTGGTCCTACAAAGTCAGAAAACAAATGATATTACTAAAATACAAGAATTTAAAAAGCATGTCCCAATTTGCCATCCTGAAAGCTTATCAAGTGGTAAGCATCTGGTACTTCACGATAGGTGAAGCAGCTATCATCTTCGGCTGACTACCCAATCCACAAGCTAAAAGGACAAGGAGAAAAAGATCTGGGCTCTAAGTCTTCACTGGTAACAGCTTCCACGACATTCTGATTAAATCACAGAGAAAAAACACTCGGAAGCCCGTGATATACAATGGAGAAGTCAATGGTGATATGTAGCAGTCTTGCAATACTAGAATATTCCACGTGCATAAGAAAATGGGGCAGGACTACTGTTTATATTTTACTTTCAATTCAAATCCCTAACCCTTCTTAAAACCACGACTGTTCAGTAAACACTGGTTGGTAAGCATAAGCTCTCTTAAAAATTTTGTTGTTGTCATTGCAACAACACGTGTGGAGGTCAGAAGACAACCATGGAGGCTGGGCCGTATGTAGGTAGCTCTATTGATAAAGCACTTGCCTGGCATGCACAGAGCCCTTTGTTTGATCCCCAGCACTCTATGAAAACTAAGCGTGGTGGTTGTGCAAACCTGTAATCCCTAGAATTAAAATTCAAGGCCACCCCAGCTGAAGATCACATTCAAGCCCAGCTTGGGATACTTAAGACCCTGTCTCAATAAACAAACAAAAGACAACCATGAAAGTCAGTTCTTTCCTTCTACCAGGTGGGTGTGAACTCATTTGGCTTGGTAGTAAGGTACTGCCATCCACTGGGCCATCTTGCTGGCCCAAGATTATTTTTCAATGTCTAATTAGTACCTGTTTGATATTATAAAATTAAACAGAACCTTACAGGAAACCTGAGCTAGGTCTTTGCCATGGCCCAGGAGACACATGCCCCAGATTTTCTCGCAGCCATTCCGGAGTCAGGAATTTGATGCATTTACACAAGCACAGATAATGTGGCTAATAGCCCTGTTTCTGTTTTTAACATGGAGATCTAATTCGAATGTCAAAGGCAGTTCACTCTGTCTAGACTAAAGGAGAGTCTATTTTTTTTCCCAGTAGAACAGCAACAAACCTTTTACCAATCCAACTATTATATAAGGTTTCCTTTATTACCAGTTTATTAGTTTAGCCCTTAATAGTGAGGGAAAGAACTGATATGAAGATTGGGCCAGCTGTTTTTATACTCTTTGGAGAAAGGTTAACTGCAGGAGTAATGTAGCTTGCACTTAGCAGGGAAACTCCCTAGGATAAGAGTGTATTGTTCCCTGTTGGAATGAATGACCACAGAAGGCTGGAGAATTTCCACTAAGGAAGACCTTTGAGGTATAGCCTAATAAGTATACTGATTACAAATGAATCTCTGAAAGATAACCTGGACTGACTTCCAAATTCTTTGGGTTGTACCTTATTAGGAAACTATTAAATTACTCAAACAGTATCATTATGCACAAGGTAAAAACCACTATTACAGTAATAAAGTTTATAAAAGTAATTAAGTTAATTTAATTCTTGCACCCCAAAGAATCAGTTCATTGAAATAGCATAAATTCTAGTGATCGCCTTTAGATACACACACAGAAGGGACCATTATTTCGATGTAGATGGTTTCTTGCATATGTAACACCACATATCATGCTGCTTTCAAGTTTGTGCTATGAAACACAAAAACAGCCCTTGATGTAAACTATGTAAACTAGTACTATCTCAAGTTACAAAAAACTTTCCTGGATCAAAGGATAGACACACACACACACTACATTACTAGGTAATCTCAAAAAAGAGGGACAGCCATTTCAACTTCCAGCAGCAATATCTGTGCTAGGATCATACGGAAGCAGTATTTTAATTACTGGCCAATATGATAAATAAGACATTCCATGGCTTTACTTTTCATTTCCCTGTGGTTGGACATTTTTCTTTCCATACATACATGGGCACTTGTTATGTCATGTTTCTATATTTTGTACATGATTTTAATGTGTTCTTTTTCATGAGTTGTAAATATAGTAATTTTCTAGCATATACATGCATACATATATATCTCTCCACTGTGTATCTGCAAAGTTCTCCTGTTGAGAGTATTCAAATAGCTAGATGTCTTGAATCCTACAGGGCTGGATCATTTTATATGCTTGGAATATGAAAATGTGAAAATCTAGTAAGCAAATAAACCAAAATAACGTTGGCTCCAGGGCAAAGGCCTACAATTCCAACTACCTGGGGTGGGGGTGGGGGGGCTGATGCAGGACAACTGCCATGTTCAAGGACTACCTGGTAACTTAATGAGATTTTTGTCTCATGAAGACATGAAAAGAGGGGCTAGAAACATGGCCCACCAGTTAAAAGCACTGGCTGTGCTTGCAGAAGACTTGAGTTCAATTCCCAGCACCCACAGGAAGTAAAGAGAGGGCTAGAGAAAAAACGGAGGGGAGCAGAGCACTTGTGTGAGCTCTTGGGTTCAATCCTAGTACAATTATAACAAACAAACAAAAACCAAGAAAGAGGAAAAAAAGGGCAGGCAAACAAAAACCCCAAGACCCATCTTCTCTGCATAAAGACGATGAGCACTGTCTACAATGGCTGCATAAAGATGAACGCATTCTCATATCTCTTCACTGAGTATCTTGGAAAGTTATCACTGGAAAAAACAGGCACTGGAACTGGCAGTGGTTAATCAACAGGTTTTCTGTGTCAAGACTTTGGCATGTCATCATTGGAAACTTCTTTAGTGAAAATGCTCCACATCTACCAGATGTGAATTCAGAGCAAACTTGCACAGTCAACTTTTCCTTTTGACCCTGATTTCCAGCCTGAGGCTTCTAATAGCATCTCCCTTCAGCTGCCAACTACGATAAACTTGTACCTAAGAGAAATGTTTTAGATACTCTGCATCCAAGAACATACCACAATGTGATTTTATGAATAACCTCATACCAACCACCAGGCAAACTAACTTTCCAACTACATGATTTTCCCCCAGACAGTTGTTTTAAGCAAAGTAGAATTTAGAAACAAACTTGGAGGGGAGAAAGAAGTTTCCACATTAAAAAAAAAAAATCCGTTATATCTGTAGGAGACAGACTGTTAACTTGAATTAATGTATGTGCCAAAAACTGTTGGATGCTTCACACATATATCTTAGCTCTAGTACCCCTCAGAGGTAGGCACACTAATTTCTATTATATAGGTGAGGATTGTGCCTTTAAAACCCCTTTGAAATTTCACTAAAAATATGAAATATATAACTTTAAGTTAGATAATTAAGTGACTATATTTAAGTTAGTAAAGCTTTAAAAATTTTTCATTTGCCTGCATAGATGTCTGTGAACCACATTCATTCAGTGCCTTAGGAGGTTAGAAGAGGATGATCAGATCCCCTAGAACTAAAATTACAAACAGTTCTGAGCTGCCATGTGGGTGCTGAGAATTGAACCCAGGTTCCCTGGCTTTTAGCTGCTGAGCCATCTCTCCAGCCTATAAAAAGTACTTTTGAAAATTAAATGTAACTCACCAAGCCCTAGGATTTCTCAATCCAAGTGAGGACTGTAAATATCAACCTTGAGGCTACACAGAAAACTATTTTGAGGTACCTGCCTTGTCCCACAGCACCACCTAGTGGCACCATGGGAGACACCAGTACTTTCTAAAATGGGAGGGCCAATGGATAGGTAGGTGTCTGGGCAGCTAAGCTTCATCATGACTTAATTAACCCCCACCCCCACTGGCACAGAACAGTACATACAAGACAGTGAGGAGATGGGGCAGCTTTGAATCCCACTGGTGAGAACGGTGGTATTAGAAACACATTTCTAAGTCAGTTTTCTCATTTAAAAACCAAAACCCCTCTTGACATGGTTCTGTAAAAATGGCAGCCAGACAATTTAGCACAAGCACATATCTGAGGGCCAGTGTCTCTGAAGTGAAATACTGGATAAAGACAAAGAAAAGTCAAGATTCCGCCACTACAACAGTGGACTTGTGTGCCCTAATAAGAGATCATTAGAAACAATCCTATCAGCAGGGCCTACAAAGATGGCTCGGTGATTAAAAGCACTTGCTGCCCTCACAGAGGATCCCTAGGATCAGTTAACCCAGCCTTCAGGGCAACTCCAGGTCCGGTGGATGCCCTCTTCTGGCCTCATCCAAAAGACCCAGGTGTGCACATGGCACATACACACACAGGCAAAATGACGGAATATACACTAAATACACACAAGAAAGATCCTATCAGGGAAGTGAAGATTCTTTACAGAGGCAGTTGGAAACCCTGTAGCAAGAATGGCTACCAGACAGACTGCCACAAAGGCAACAAGATAAGCAGGCGTCACTCAAGACACTTTTGAGAAATGTAGAAAAGGACCATATTTTGTCTTCATACTGTGGGGGAAAAGTACTTTGTTATATTTTGCAAAACAAGTATGGCCTTTCTTCCAAAGCTAAGAAAATTCTTACAAGCTAGATCTGTCTTTCTAGAACCTTTTGCTTACTAGTTCAGAAAACTACAACTCAGTTAACAACATGAAAGTTTTTCCTAGCCTATGAACCAATTTTGTATTAAATACAGATTCTCAGTACAGCAAGGCAAAACCCTGTTGGACAGTGCCTGTTATTAGTAAAATAATATGTTCTTCATATAATGTGATCAGTAGGAATTAGACATCAAACAGTATCTCAAACTACAGCATTGTTGTCTATCCAGACCTGGAAATTCCCAGAGGCAATGATACCACAAGAAAATTCATAGAACAAAGAAATAAATGTTACCTCCTACATCTATGAAGTGCTTTACTGCCAAGCCAGAGCGTGGAGCTAAAAAACAAAATAGGAAAAGCAGTAGTTATTTTAAATGGTAAGGAGAAACAGATGCACTATTTTTGATATAAGAAGTACCATGGTGTCCTCTAAGGTTTATATTTCCACCTTAATTTCAGCAGACCATTCTTTTTTTTTTTAAAGATTTATTTATTTTCTGCTTGCATGGATGCCTGCATGCCAGAAGAGGGCACCATATCTCATTATAGATGGCTGTGAACCACCATGTGGTTGCTGGGAATTGAACTCAGGACCTCTGGAAGAGCAACCAGTGCTCTTGCCTCTGAACCATCTCTCCAGCCCTCAGCAGATGATTCTTAAAGAACACATTAACCATATACTATACCAACAAAGATGGAAAGACTAGTCTAGGAAAATTCAATGCCGTTTTACTTCCAAACAAGTGCAGAGCACAGCCCCGTGACTGCTGGCAGTACAGATGGTTACTGGAACCAACTGGAAAGTGAGCAAGTACAGCCCAGCCTGAAGACTTCTGACTAGTGTTCACATCCTATTCACTTACTATGACACACTCACACTCTCTCTCTCTCTCTCTCTCTCTCTCTCTCTCTCTCTCTCTCGTGTGTGTGTGTGTGTGTGTGTGTGTGTGTGTGTGTGTGTGTGTGTGTATAGTCAGAAGTCAACTCTGTGGACTCAGTTCTCTCCTTCTACATGTGGGTCCCTGGGATCACACTGGGTCACAAGGCTTTTGGCACAAATGCTTTACTTACTGAGCTACCTTTCTGGCCCAACTCAAGATGGGAGATGAATATGCAAATCCGAGAAGAAGGGAGGAGGCTATGCAAACAATGGCAGAGCTTAGCTGAGAACCTGGAACTTCTTTTCATTCTTCAGGTTAGGAAACATGTTTACATGAAACATGAGTAATGGCCAATGCTCTAATGTTAGCGAACTAAAATACCTATGGAATTTCATCAAAAATTAAAGTCTCCTGTACATTTTTTAATTCTAAAAATGGAAGGACACTTTATACCTTAAACTTGCTGACCCAACCATCAGGTCTATCTCAATAATCCTAACATCTAGTACCATGCTTCACAACAATCTAAAGCAGGTACTTTGTCAATAAACACCACCTCTTCAGGGTTGTTTACCTGAATTCCAACCAATTGCTTTCCTACCCTAGGACTTTACCTCTTATCTAAGTGCCTCGGTTTTTTTTCCCTCCTATTTAGTTTGAAGTTACAAAAAGCACTTAGGCTCTTGACAAGTTTTGAATTTACTCTCTAGACAAGTGGCACTCCCCAGGATTTCTTTCTCAGCAGTAACTGATGGACACACAAGTGCCCCTTGCTCTAATCTCTGGGACCCAGAACAAGACCAGGCTCAGGGGTTCAGTTCTCTCTCCCATAATATAAAATGCCAAAACCACCATTCTAAGACCCCACTTTCTCACACAAATATTAGTCACCCTTATCATTATATTTATAAATAATGTGACCTCATCTGCAGACTAACTCTTGCAGAGTTGACAATACTACTGGGAAAATCTCCAACTAAAAACCACCTAAATTTTTCATTTTAAGAACCAACAATGGGGGTATGTATAGCAATTCTATAAGCTCAAGAAGGTATTTGAAGTAAAAATGCAAAAGCAGACATGTGAATCTGAGTTTTTATAAGTAGGTGTATCTGGTTTATATGATACTAAGACGACAAAGGGCAGGCATGACAATTACCTGTTTCTTAAACCACTTACCTACTCTTCCATAACACCCAGAAGGAACAGCTATCTGAATGTCTGTTTTCACAATGGTTTTCTCCATGGGTGGTATTGTATAATCATAGGCACTAAAAAGACATTTAAGTATTCATTAAACTTTTGTCTTTTAGGGTTTTTCAAGACAGGGTTTCTCTTTGTAACAGCCATGGCTGTCCTGGAACTCTCTTTCTGAACCAGGTTGGCCTTGAACTCAGAGATCTGCCCGCCTCTGCCTCCCAAGTGCTGGGATTAACAGCATGGACCACCATTGCTTTATTAAACTGTTTTTAAAATTGTTTGCTTTGATAATGAATATAAAATGTATTCTGATAAGTCATTACTTCATATAAACTTAGAACCTATAAAGAGTTATGACAAATTCCTAACTCATCTAAAAGTTTCCTTAGAAGGCAGTAATTTCTTTTAGCTGCAATAAGACAGCTTTAGGCTGGAGGTGGTGGTATATACCTTTGATCCCAGAACTCAGGTAGAGAAACCTCAGTGAGGTAAGGGGGGGTAGGATGGTGTGGACACACAGCTTAGCTAACAGTTCTCTGAATTAACAGTGGAACAAGATGTCAACATTGTCACGGCTGTATGTTTGCTTTTTTTGTTATTGTCTGTGAAAGCAATGGTTGGAGAATTAGCATGAAGAACAGAAAGGCTGACTTAATTCTCTACCTTTATGGAGAGAAAGTGAAAAACCAAGGCAAATAACAGCTACCACTCACTAGGCTCTCAACCCATGCCAGGCACAGTTCTAATCTGCTAATGCATATGAACCCATTTTACTTTTGTAACGATTCTCTTGAATGAGGGTGAACCTGAAGAAGAAAGTGTTAAGACAAAACATTGGTGAGAGGCTGAGATGCACTGCATCCTTCCTCTTAGCCAGGAGATCAACTAGCCTCCGGAGCTATGGCTGTGAACTTCGGTGGCTGAGGGGGAAACTGGTCACCCATCATCCAGCTCCTGGGGATGGGCACTGACCAGAACAGACTCCCGAAGGTCCTCCTACAAATTGCTGCTACGGTCACTATTACTGTTGCTCCCTTCCTGATAAAAAAAAGTCAGAGACTTTACAATAAGCAACATGGAAGTTACTCTGGAGGCCTTAATTCAATCTGGTAGAACTTAACTGTACAATAGCTCCATTTTTCCCCCCACAAAGTATTTGCACTTCTTATACACCAGTCTTCAAATACACAGAAAACACCATCTTATTTACAAGATGGCCTAAGTAGCTAAGCTCTCTCCCAAGTCTCGCTGTACTAGATGCATACACACGGGTCAACAGGCTTGCTTTCACGCTGAGACATCTCACTAGCCTGGGAAGCCCCCCCCCCTTTCCTTAAATTCCCAGTCCTTCGGTGGGATATACAGAGAAATAAGCAGCGTCTACAGATATTTTTCCTAGACTCCCACGTAGCTTTTCTAACGTGCACCCCGCAGACGGTCAGGTCACCCTCTGTCAAGTGTAATACTTTCCAGTCGGCAAAGGTGGAGCGCACGAGGCACAGCCATGCTTTGGACATGTCAGCCGTTTACTTTCTTCTCGCCCAAACCCCTACTGGGTTTGCTTAGGGTGAACTCTTAAATTTAAAAGTCTCAGCGAGAACGCGGCGGAGCCCCGGCTGCACCGAGGCTCGGTGTTTGCAGTCCTGCAGGCCGCCCGTGGCTCTCACCTGTACAGGTCGTAGCCCGCAGCGCGCGCGGACCCACGCGTGGGAGCCGTGGCGTGCTCCGAGAGCCGCACGAAGCGCAGAGAAGCGCCATCCTCGGCCCGAGCACGCTTGCTGACAGAGCCGGCCGCGGCGACTTCCGAGCAGGGCATGTTGACAGGTGGAGAAAAGCGGAGTGCAGTGAGCCCAGGAGCCCGCCAGCCGCGGAGGAAAACCAAAATTTCCCGCCTGGACGAGCCCACCGCGCAGGACGGGGGCGAGGCCTTCCGCAAAGGGCGGAGAGCGGCCTAGTGGAGGCTCCAACAGCGGCAGGCTCCCCTCCTCGGCGACCCCAGTGGACTCGCTCCCGCGCTCCAAGCTCTGCCCGGGCAAGCCCAACCTCCGCAGCAACGCGCACGCGTCCTCCCCGGCTCCCGCCCCAGCCCCCCCATCCCCTCACCAGCGCGCGCTCCCGCCCCGGCACGCGCGCCCCCGGCTCCGGCCGGGACTTCACCGGCTCCGTGGCAGATTCTGCTCTGCGCCGGCAGGAGCGCGCGCGAGGGGAGCCGAGCCCGCAGGAGGCGGCCGCGCAGCAGCGTACGCACGCACGGGAACAGCATGGCGCGGCTCTCACTCGGCGGCTGGCTGGAGGTTTAGGCCTCCGCAGGCCCCGAGCCCGCATTCCCGCCCCGCCCCGCCCCGCGCTCCGCCTAGCGGTCCTCCTGCTTGCCTTTCCTCCACCCCGACGTTCCATGGTGAAACCAAGAGACCGTTTGCCTTCTACAGTTGTACACGCAGAGTGTTTTTAAATCTGTTGTCCTCACCCAAAGCAATTGGGAGATCCCGTGGCTGGGAGGCAAACACTCTTTGACTTTACAAAGGGGATAATTAAGGAACTCGGTAGAATCTCCGGTTTTATCTGGAGCACTTTGAAGAAATAGAAGGCCCAAGGCACTTTTACAGAAATGTCAGCTAAACATACTAGGGGGTGATCGTCATTTCCTTGTCTTTCCTACGAGCCAGTGCGGTCCTCTGGTGGGTGTGCAATACATACACTCTCTTTCTGATGCTCTTTAATGAATCTGTTAGTAGCCGGGTGATGGGGGAGAATGCCTTTAAGCCCTGCACTGGGAGGCAGAGACAGGTGGATCTCTGTGAGTTTGAGGCCAAATTGGTTTACAGATCGAGTTCCAGGACAGCCAGGGCTATACAGAGAAACCCTATCTCGAGAAAAAATAAATAAATAACATAAAATAAAAAGAAGGAAGGAAGGAAAAAAGAATCCTTTGTGAGTTCATGATGAGTAGATGTGGTCCTGCAGGCCATGCCAGTCAGCTCTGCCTTCCTCCTTCCACCTATCGGTGGGTTTAGGGGTGGGCCTCCGGCCAGGACTGAGCAACAAGCTCATTTTCCCGCTGAACCTTTTCCCAGAACTTCTAACAGTGATCAGGCATTCTGCTCATGTTCTGGCTTCAGCGACTATCCTGCTGCCCTCTGGGCACAGTGTCTTCCTAACAGTTTTTAGACCCAGCTTTGTCCTCAACAAAACTCAATTCCAAGAGGCCATTCTCAAAAATCTTCAGTTGTTACCCTGCCTTCCCTCAGTTTACTATCAGAATATCTTTCTATTTACATTTCTTGTGCATATTTTCTTCTACATTGCCTACTTATTGGTTAGATACTTGATCCATAAGGGAAGGACCCTACATACTTAGATTGGCCTTTTCTATTCCTGCTGTGTCACAGTGGGTTTCAAAAGCCCATGCCAGGCCCAGTATCTGTTATTGTCTGCTGGCCTGAGGATGAAGATGTAGCTCTCAGCCACTGCTCCAGTGCCATGATGATAATGGTCTGGCCCTCTGAAACTGTAACGCTTTCTTTGTAAGAATAGCCTTGGTCATAGGGCCTCTTCACAGCAATAAGACTAAGGCAGATTGTTTAGTCAGTCCACTCAGACCCCTCCATATCATTTCCTTTCACAAATCTTAGCATTCGTGTGCTTTCCTTTAAACAAGATTGAGGTCAGCTGTTCAGAGCACTTGTTGCTCCTGCATCAGACCCCAGTTTGATTGGCAGCATCCACATTGGACGGCTTGCAGCTGCCTGAAACTCCGGCTCCAAGGGCTTTGTGTGGCGCTTGGACACATGGTGCACATATAGACAATCGGGCCCACACAAACATAAGCTTTTCAATTTTGTACATGAATTTGTTCGTGCTTTGATCATATTCCTCCAGTTATCCCATCTTATCACTTCTCCCTACCACAAACCCCTTCTCATGAAGTGCCTCTCCTGTTTTTCTGTTTTGTGTGTGTGTGTGTTGTTGTTGTTGTTGTTGTTCCTCTTTGTGGCCCATGACATTTTAACTACATTTGCCTTCCTGAGCATGAGTGGGCAACCATTAACTGTCCTTAATTCCTCAGGGATTGTATTTATTTTCTTCATCAGTCCATTATGTTTTTGAGACAGGATCTCATGTATCCCCGTGACCTATACTGGCCGCGGAAAGGATGACTTTGGACTTCTGATTCTCCTGCCTCTACCTCCCTGACGCTGGGGTTACAGGTGTGAGCCACCATGCCTAATTTTGACAGGAACTGAGGATGGAATCCAGAGCTTTGTGCATTTAGGCAAGCACTTTATCATCTGTATTGTGTCTCCACCCCCATTTACTTATTTATTTATTTATTATTTTTGTTTGTTTGTTTGAGACAGGGTTTCACTGTACAGCCTTGGCTGTCCTGGAACACTCTGTAGAGCAGACTAGCCTTGAACTCACAGAGATCTTCCTGACTCTACCTTCCAAGTGCTGGGATTAGAGGCATGCACCACCACCACTACTCAGCTCTTCTAATTTTTAATTGAATACTTTTTTCCATGTTTTGCTTTTCAAAATAAGTAACAGGTACAATGAAGATTTGTTTGCATCCTTGCTTCTCTCTCTCTCTTTATCTCTCTCTCCATCTCTCTCTCTCTCTTTACTTAAACAGAAAGCTGTGTATGACATATCCCTACTCCTGCATCTTCTCAGCCATTTCTTCCTTGTATTTGTACTTCTCCTTTTCTGCTTGTCCAGACTTGGCTTTCCTTTCTAGGGTCTTCTTGTGGTTTTTGTCCAGCTTTAGCCTGGTGATAACCACCTTGCTGGGATGGATGCCCACATGGACAGTTGTGCCATTAGCCTTTTCTCCCTTCACTCGTTCAGTGTAGATGATGTATTCCTTCATGTACACCTGGACCTCTTTGCCAATCTGCTGACCTTTGTAGTGTCCTTGGACAACCTGAACTTTATAATCCTTTTGAATGGGCATAGATGGAACATTGTACTTCTGTCTCAGCTCTTTGGAAAGAGGGGAAGACATGATCTTCCTCCAAATGTGAAAAGGTGCATTGAAATGCCGCTTGCAGTTCTTGCTTCAGTCAGAAGTCGTGAAGGGATTGAACTTCATTTTGGCAGCTGCTATCCAGGGATGGCAGCAAAAGGCATCCTTGCTTCTCTTATCAGGTAGTAATTACAACTCTTTTTCCTTAGTCTCCGATCAAAAGCTTACTTTATTCAAGACACTTAGAACCAGGAGTGACTTCTGCTCCCATCTTATCTCCCACAACACTTAGTCTATAATTTATTTGTCACTTAGCTCTAGTGTGTGAGCTCATATCTTATCTTCCAGATTAGCAAAAGTCATATAATTTCATGAATGCTTTGAAGTACTTACCTGGGTGTTTTAGTCAAACAAAAACATTGCTTGACTTATAATACCTACCACTATGATAGTGTTCTTTGGTATCTTCTGTTAATTTGGGTATAGAAAGTGCTTATTGCAATCACTTTTCATCTAGGGTATTTTAGACAGTGGAGATATAGACCACTGACTAAGTAGCTTAAATCCAAGCTACTTCAATTAAGAACTAGATATCTCCCCACTACAGTTTATTCTATCAGGACACAGCTATCCATCCTGCTGACTAATTTAATTGCATATGCTCAGTGGCAGCTTGAAACTTGAGTATCAAATAGGAGCTTTGTGAGCAAAGTTTGCCAGGTAGCCTCCAATGCTGCAGGTTTTAGTGTGCCCCAAGAAGACTATGACAACACTGAACCCATGCTCTCAGGGGCTAAGATGACTGGTAAGTGAATCAGGATTCTTCATGTTGGAGTTGATGGTTCCCTGTGGAAATGCTTCTTCCCTGGGCCGTATTCTCTGGTTTCCCTCCCTTCCCCTGGGCTTCCTCTTCTCAGGTACATTTCTGATCCTTCTCAACTGCTTATGCTTCAAGCTTTAAAAAGTCTGAGAGCCAGGATGATGACATATACCTTTAACCCTAGCTCTTGGGAGGCAGAGGCATGTTGATCTCTGAGTTTGAGGACAACATAGCCTACAGAGCAAGTTTCAGGACAGCCAGATCTACACTGTGAAATCCTGTCTCGAAAACAAACAAAGCATTTTAAGAAGAGACTTTTTTTTTTCTTTCTCTCAGGTTTTCCCCTCTTTGAAAATAGTCCCCTCCTGGAGACTAGCTAATGCTTTGCCCTATTTGATGGTTCTTCGTTGCATGTACCATATATGAAATGATAGATTTATTCAGTTTACCTGCTCATATACCTGTCCTTCAGTAGCATGGAAGCACTATGGTAGATCTAAAACTGTACATTTTAAACACTGTTAGTCAGTGTTCTATAGTTGTGAAGAGACACCATGACCGCAGTAACTCTTATAAAGGAAAATATTTAACTGGGGCTGGCTTACAGTTTCAGAGATTTAGTCCATTATTATCATGATAGGGCATGGCAGTGTGCAGGCAGATATGGTGCTGGAGAAGGAGCTGAGAGTTTTACATCTTGATCTGATGGCAACAGGAAGTCAACTATCTCACTGGGTGTAGCTTGAGCATGGAACCTCAAAGCCCACCCCCACAGTAACACACTTCCTCCAACAAGGCCACACCTACTCCAACAAAGCCACACCTCCAAATAGTGCCACTCCCTTTGGGAGTCATTTTCTTCCAAATCACCACTGTTGGTTTCTTAGTAATTAATGGTTTTACCCTTTCTTGTATTCTTTTAAACTTTCTAAACATTTATCTTAGTTTTTTTTTTTTTGTATGTGTTTTGCTCTGCTTTTTTTTTCTTTTAATTGAAATGTGTGCTTGATTTATCAGTTTTAAAATATAAAATTAGTCTAATTATTTTTTTCTGGATAACACTGGGTCTTTATTCAAATGCTTTGACTTTGTTAATCTTTTTTCCATTTACATGAAATTATAATTTTCAGTGTTCTGGGTGCTTACTTTTGAGAAGCCTCACTATTAGTGGCACTTTGAATAGTCATTTTAAGCAATGTTTACCTATGGCTATGTGTTATTTTGAAAATATATCTTGCAGTATAAGGACCTGGAA